CTTATGCTAATGTTATCTCAGATTTTTTATATTTTATATTTTATATTTTTTAGATGGTCCTATTTAAATGTAGTACGTACTGACTCAGTATCTGCTTCTATAGCTAGTAATTTATTGATAAACATTTATAGCTTTTAGTAACAGCCAGCGAGCTAACTTAAGAGTTTTCATAAATGATAGCCACTCTCTTATCAGTTCTTATCGTTGATATGAGAATTTGCAGAATTTGGAATTTTCTCGATAGTAAAGGCATAAATTTTGAGCACAAGTTGACGATATGAATATACATTACTTTCTGCAATACAAAAAATTCCAACTGAGTTTTTGGATGCAACCATAAATATGCAGGTAATACCTTTAAACGAATTGATATTAATTCAAAGATACCTTTCGAAAGCTATAATATAATGGTTTTCCGCTACCAAAATGAAAGCTTCGAAAGAAATTCGGCCTGGTAAGGAGCCAATTAATCTATAATTGTTTTTCCAAGATCTTTTCATGAAATCTGTAGTGCATCTGTAGTGCAATTACCTTAGCCACAGTTTTATAAAATTAATGGAAATGTAGGATCCAAAAGGAATATTATCGGTTTTATCCGGTCACTCCAGCTATTGGAGACTAAATGAGCATATCGCTAAAGTTATATCAGATGCAGCTGTGCAAATATTTCGCTCGAACATCCGGCATGCTTCCAAATTGACTCGAAGGAAAGAAATCGAGCTTCTATGATTCACTTTTCTTTGAAATGAAAAAAAATGAAATTGAAATGAAATGAAATTAATGGAGAACTGAACATCATTCAATAAAATTCAGTGAAAATTATGGGCTTATCTAACTGCACTGAATACTGGAGTGATGATCACTGCTCAGCTCTACTGTAGGATAAAAGTCTGTGTGAAACGAGCCAAACGTCATCTTCAGTGGCAATTTTATTTCAGCTAAGAATCTATCATTCTCGCTCAAAATAATACCAAGCTTTTCGAAATGCCTTCGAAGAACGATGTAATTATAGAAATTTTTCAGTATTAGTCAACCAGAAGTAAATTGTGATGAATGTAAAACTCATTCGAATTGCTTGTTAAATTAATTGCAAAATATAAATGGTCAAATATATATGGTCAATCTATAGCAGATTCTCCAATTAAAATATTCCTGGATTTTGTAGGCAAATGTGAAGAATAATGGTGAGATAATAGCAAACAATTTTAGAATTTTGCTATTATAGCTAGCAAACTCAGCTTAAGAATGGTATTTGAGCCAAAGCGGATACAATCATGTGAGGCTGGCAAACTCGTACAATGTTCCTCAGATATAAGTAGTGAAAATTTTTAATATTTGGCTTTATATAAAAATAAATACAATAAATGAATATGTTTACATTTAAATGAACAATAGCAAAGGTAAAAAATAATTGATATTCAAAATTTGCACCAAAAGATATTCAAGCCGAGCACCGAAATTGAATTGCTTCTAATGTAAGCAGCATTTTTTAGATCAATAAAATTTATTTTTCAAAAAATTTAATAGAACTGATTTTAACCAAATGTTATAAAATTCGCCCAAAATCTTTTTAAATTTCTTGTTTTGAACCATTTCTTTTAAAATATCAATGGTAAATATCAATAAAATATCAATAAAATATTAAGATATCAATGGCATATTTATTAATCAAATCCTTAATTTCACACCAAATGTGATGATAGAATGGAATAGAATGTTGCATAACTGCAAAAAGCGGTTAGCCTGGCAGTCAAAATTGTCTTGTGCACGACTGGTCGAAGACAAATACGTTTGTGTAGAAACATTTTTCGACTGTAGTCAACAAAGTCAGCCTAAGAAGTAAAGGGCTTTTAGAAAAAAAAATAATGAAGTTTATCAACTGCAGATTCCTCATATATTATCATTTATCATAGTTATTTATCATAGTTTCATTCATTCAAATTCGATGCAATATTTTATTTTATTTTTTCAAGAATTCATTCATTTCAGCAAGCGGAACGCCTATTTCTTTTTCGACGTCAATTGACGGAATAAATCATAAAATTTATTCCATGCGTTATTCATATTCTATAAAATATTTCAGTGAACTAGCGATCTATTCAAAATTCATCGGAAAATACAATAAAATGAGCGATGATTTGGTACCGTGAAATCGGGGAGTGCACGCCAGTGTTGTAAATGAGAAAGTGCTGCTTTGATGCGAAAGAATTCAATGAAATTTTATAAGTTAACGATATTAGGTTGGCAATGAGTGATTTTGGGAAAGCTATTTAACTTCTAAATGAATTATAAAATAATATAAAAAATATTTATAAAATATAGGAAAAAAATATGGAAAAATATAGAATTAGCAGAAATTTTTCTTCTTCTTCTAACAGCGCTGGTTAGGCTGGCTCCAACGGCTACAAAGATAAGACGCTTCCAAGCTGCGTGGTCTGATGATATCGACGACAGCAGTGGAAGCCATTCCATCGTCTAAGATCATTTATTGCTGGTCCTCTTGTACTTTCCAAATTTTTTCTCTCCGTATCAGTCCAAGTCTTGGCTCACTTCGTTTTCACGCCATCACACGATTTAGCAAATAACGAAATATGCGTCAATTGCTGTGGTGGACGGAGAATGTGTCCTAACCAGCGAAGGCAATGCTCTATGATAACATTATTTATGCAATTGGTATTTGAACGAAGGTTGATGCGATCTTGTGAGATTTTATCCGTCGACGAACCCGTAAAATATACCTTAGACAAGAGTGGTCAGAGTTAGATACTTCTTAATATCTTCCACTCTCATTGGCCATGTCTCAGAACCATATAACGGATCACGGTTATATAGATGCGGACTTTATTTTTATAGTGATTTCACAATTGCTCCATAAGAGTTTCGTCAACCGAAGGAACGTATTTCCAGTTGCCGTAATCCGAGTTGTAATATCATTTTTTGCCTGTTCCATAAGACGAAAAGGCTTTCGTTTTATTTACATTGATCCTGAGTCCGATTCTTGCTGATACGTTATTTAATATTATTTGCGTTTAATCATAACTCAGTAAAAAGGACTACATCAGCGTATTCAAGACCTATGATATGATACTCTGAACTGATTTGATTTGTAAACCTGTACTTTTGTACTTTTGTTAGTGCCGACAAGCGGTGTCCATTCCTCCGTCTATCGCATATTTGAATATTGTAGGGGAAAGGACGCAGCTGTGATGGACAACAGTTCTTATTTCGAAGGAGTTTGTCAGCTCCACATATACACAAACCTGCGCTGACGTGCTTTCATAAATGCCTTTATGAGTCGAATGATTTTCTCTGGAACACGGTCACGTTCCATCATTCTCCAAAGCGCCATTCTAAATCAATTAAATCAAAGGCAAAGTCAATGAAACACATGACAGTGGGTTGCAAATATTTGAAGTGATGTTCCAATACCCTTCTTAACATGAATATCTAATCATCAGTACCACACCCTTATCTGAATCCAGTTTGATTAGAGCGTATCTTGCTTCCATAAGTTTGTTGAGTAGCAGGGAAGCAAAAATTTTCGCTGAGATGTCTAGTAGGCTCAATAATTGTCGCTGTATGTCCTATCATCTTTCTTGAGAATTGGGAGCAGAATTGCTTTGCACTAATCATCTGGTAATATTTCTTTTTTCCTTACTAAAGAGTACATTTGTTGAAGGTGCGTTATGAAGGACGACGGACAGCATTTGAAAAGCTCAGCCCGAAGACCATCTTCTCCTGGAGTTTCATTGGCCTTAAGCCTATGGATAATTGAAATTATTTCATCTTGTGTTGGAGGCTGGCAATTACAAGCGTATTCTTCGGCAAATATATTAGCTATATCAGGGGCAACAGTTGGCGCTTCTTTGCCGTCAATAAAAAGCATTCATGCGTCGCACAAGAATTTCATGAAACTCAATTCAGCAACTCAATTCTATTAAAACAATAAAAAATTTAAAAAAAATTAAAATATTAAGTCAGTTTAATAGTATTTATTTGCCTTTTGATGATTTCCCAGACGAAAATCTTCCGGTATTCTTCAAGTGGCTTAAAATTTTTTATAGTGCGTTAATCCGCAGTTGTTAAATTAGCTATTATTATTCATTATCAATTAAAACTGCAAAAAGCAATATATCATAAAACTAAATTTGATATAATATTGTAAAGTGATAATTTTTTTAAAGGTGTTGATAATATTCAAATAAATAAAAATACAACTAATATTTATTTCATTGGTGAATGATTATTAACATACCTTTGAATAAGAAAGAAACAGCGATGATAAACTTGATTTCTAGGAGGATTTTTTGATAGTTCCCCTCAAATTAAGGATATAATTTTAAAGAATAAAATTTTGAAGCATCGAAAATTCTTAAAAAAGCTTTCTTAAAATTATTATTCGCCGATGTTTGCTCTGCTAAATGAAAATTACGATATCTCTTTTACAGTGCAAAAGAATTGGTAAACGATTGGAAAAAAATATAAAAAATGAATGGAATGTTAAAAAATGAACTAAGGAAAAAATCGAAATATTTTAATTTTAAAAATTGATGGATTGCACAAATAATTGAAATAATTGATTATTATTATTTGATTAACGAAAATTTGACGTTTAATTTAACGTTAACAGAATAAACAAAAAAGAGTATAAAATATTACTAACAGAGCAGAAGTGATTATTTGGAATGATTATTTGATTATCAACAAAAGTCGCGATTCATGGACAATTTCGTTTATCTACCTTTAATATTTTTCATTTCTTGCGTAAATGCTGGCGATGTGTCAATTAATGTATGCCATAGGCCAATTCCACCACAAGCAGCAGCAATTGCAGTACCTGGAGGAGTGCCTGGGGTTGGACCTCAAGCACCTCAACCAGTTATGCACCGCCCAACCATTGATCCAAATTTGTGTTTTGACCTGGATCCTGCGTGTTCAAAAGTATTTAATTTAGAAGATGCGGGCCGTACAATTTTAGACCAACTTAATCCGTAATAAAACTTTTTTATTTTTTGAATTTTTTTATAATAAAAATAAAATCAGTGTTATTACACAATTTTCCATAGTGCAAATTATTGAATCATTTTTTGTTCTATAGAAATGCCTACTTCTGTGCAGCGGACTATAAAGTAAGCGAAAAATGCCAAATGCCAAATTATATACGATTAGCCGAACAGTTGTGTCCTCGCACATGCGCAACGTGCTGCAAAACAAGAAAGTTCAACTGCAGAAATGGTTTTAACTTTCTGCAATATTTTCAGATGATTTCATATTCAAATCAAAATTTAAAATTGATTGAATAAAAACTTCAGTGGGACAATGCGGAAATTTTACGCAAGAAATGTGTAGAACACCTTCTCTGAGCAAAATAGCGTTCGAATTTTGCCCACATACATGCGGACTTTGTGATTTGCCTGGTGCTGGCGGTGAATGTCCGGACAGCATTGATGGGTGCGAAAGTTTGAGGGGATTTTGTCAACTTGACTCGATTAGAAATATCTGCCAGCGAACTTGTTTTTCAAAGGCTTGTCTTCAAAACCTTACAAGTGAGTTGCACAGAAAAAAATATATTGCTTAAGTGGTCATTTCCATTTTTCCCATATTTATGTTAAGGATAGATTTCCCTTAGCGATGTTATATTTGGAAATAGCAATAATAATTGTTTCTCCATAAATGATCCTGCTAAAAATGTATTATATTTGATTAATTTTACTAAAGAAAACTAATTTGATTTTCAGCTTCTCAATCCAGTAGCTGCACTGATGCACACGTTGATTGTCCGTCATATCGGCAGCTTTGCAACTTCGGTGATTACGGAATTGTGATGAGAACACAGTGTAGGCGAACTTGTGGTTATTGTATTCCTTACTAGATTTTCCATAAACAATTGTTTTCTATTTTCCATCTAATAAACGATCTTTTTTTTTCTGGAAAGTTTTACAATATATATCAAATAAAACCTTTCAAAATTTAATCAGTTTTTCTATAGACGGAAAGCAATTCGCGCCTAAATAATACACCGAAATTTTTATTAATTTTCATTCTTTGCGCTGAATCGGTTAACTTTTTTGCGTTATTTACTGAATGAACTGCTTTTCATATTTTTATACCAAATTTGCTTCATTTTATTTGCTTCGTTTTATTTTCTATCTAAAATGTAAAAATTTTTTTTTTATAGTTGAAAATTTATTCACTTCTTACGCGAATAAATAAAAAAGGGCTGCTTTTCTATAAGTGCAATTTAAATTGAAGGTTGAATTTTATTAATTGATAAGTTTTATCAAATGATAAGAGATTTTCGCCAGAATTATCCATTTGTCCATCCAAAAAAAGCGAATAATTGTTTCACAGTTTTTTCAATGAATTAAGTAATCAAAAAAATATCAAACAATTTTCTCAATTTTGTATTAATTTTGGAGTAATATTTGAATATTTACTTTTATGTATATATTTGTTATTTGCTTTTATACGAAGGATTATAAAGTTTTACAAATCAATTTTAATAAATAGAAAGGAGAAACCAGAAAATAATAATCATTAAACTTTTTACAAAATACAAAATATAAAATTTATTTCTAGATGTTTTCCTTTTTTTCGCCACAGTTTTCTATGAATTTTTCACAACACGATATCCGATAAAATGAAATTCGTCGATTTCCTTTATGCCGAATTCTCAGATTTTATAATTTTTAGATAGTCCTGATTGTTAATTGTTGGTACTAGCTGCCTCTCTCCTTCTATAGCTAATGACCTATTTACATGCATTTTTAGCCATAGTAAAAGTCGGCGAGCTAACATAGGAGGGTTCATGGATGATAGCCACTCGATTATCTGTTCACTGATATGGGAAACTGCTGAGAAAGGAATTTTCTCGACACTGAGGGTTTAAGTTTTTGAGCAGATGTTGACGACGATGAATTTGCATGACTATCTGCAATACAAATTTTCAACTGAGTTTTCGAATGCAATCATAATAAATTTTAAACGAATTGATATTAAATGAAGTAATTATTTGCTTCTTGATTATAAAGGTTCTTATAATGTAAAGGTTTTTCAAAAATGAAAATGAAAGCTAAATGACTAAATGAAAGCTAAATGAAAGCTAC